TTCCCTTTGAGAAAAGGGGATTCAGTGACTTTCTCCTCCCAGCTCTTGTTGACTCTGGAGTGCTAGTGCTGGTAACGGATACGAGCCAGCCCTCCTGACTGTACAGGGCGGGCACAGAAATGTAATTCTCCCTTGGCAGGCTGAAGGATTTTTGTTCTGAGTGTAACTTGGCATTGCTGTTTCCAAGAAGTAATAGTGGAAGGACAAGAAACTGCCACCCACAGCCCGATCTGCTGGCTGTGGTCATTCCTGCCTTGTGCACGCGGTGCTGCCTACAGGAGAAACGTGCAGCTGCCCTTCGGATTCCTCGAGGTACCAGCTGCCGCAGCACCAGCAGGTCACTGCACCTGCCCGTACTGCCTGCCTCCAGACTTGAGGGCTGGAGTGAAAGCTAATTGAAACAAACAACTGCATTTGCCACTAATTAAAGGTGGGTGCATGTTTCAGGGATAGTAGGCTTTCCCTGTTCTCTGGAGGTTTTCACTTCAACTGAGCAGCTGTGTCTCCCCATGGGGGCTGTATCCCCCAGCTGGAAAATCGTAGGGCTAAAGCATGAACTTACCTGCCGGGCAGCACTCACTTACTGGCACAGGACCGGGGTCAGATAACAAAATGTCTCCAGATAAAATAAAACCATCACACCTTTCAAATTTTCAAAAAGGCACTGCTTTGACAGGAATTAATGGCAGGCATGCACTGAGCAACCTGCCTTGCCATCTCGCAGGGAGAGCCCCTTGCTTTGTTTGGCCTGGGTCAGCCCCATCATCTTTCACGTTGCTGGTAGAAGACAAGCAGTGAGTGCTTGTGAATAACCCATCAGCAGTAGGAATGTTCCTTCAGCTGCTGTTTCTTCTGCCCTTGAAAAAACTCAAGTATTTTAAGCACAGATAACACCTCTGAGCTACCATGTTCTTCCCAATGAGTTCTTTGTGGTAGACTTCCAAAAAAAAAAAAAAAAAAAAAAAAAGGACCCCATTTTCTTCCTGGGGGTGGTGAATACGGCAGCTTGCTGCTGCCATCCTGTCACTGCATCTTCAAGTCACTAAGATGGGCAATGAGATATCAGGTAACTTCTTTCTCCTGAGGCTTTTATTGTGTCCTGGGAGTCTGGGAACTGGTCACGTTTTGCTCAGTTGATAATTTAAAAGGTCAACATCCTAGATGTGAGCTTTGGCCACACGAGTGTGGAGAGGCAGCATCCTGCGACATTTGCTATATGCCCAGCTTATGTTTGTACTGCTACTGGGGGGCATGGTGGCTTGCCTGTGATGAACCAAACGCGAGGAAGATGACAATTGCTGCTGGGAGGCAGCCATACAACCATAGCACTCGGGAGTGCCAGGCCAACGGTGATGCACAAGGACGGTGTCCTACCCCAGATGTGTTTCACTGCAGGCTTCCTCTCCCCATGTCACAACTTGCCAGCCCAGGAGAAGCAGCCGGCTGTGGGCTCAGCTCCAGCTTCTGGCAGCTCTACCACTGGCCGGCTGGCCGGCCGGGGAAAGAGCACGCACCTCGTCAGAGGGCGAGACAACTGTCCTCATTTGCAAAGTGCTGCCAGATGTTTCTGGAGGTGCTTCCCTGTCTACTGGCTTCCTCTTGCACATGCTGTTTTCTCTTCTCCGACTTCCCCGTGACAAGCTCATGCCTATCAGGTCACTTCATGTTAGAAACCGGTTACAACAGAAACATGTTTACAAGCACAATCAATCACATACTTCCCGAGTCTAAAACCAGCACAATTCACATCATTTCAGTCCCTTCTTCAACTTTTTCCATTTTCCTGCCCAGCAGTTCCCACATGGCCCTGGAACACAGGCCTGCGTCACCATTTCCTCAAGTACATCAGGACAGGACTGACCCAGCTGCTTTGCAGTGGCACAGCCAGCTCAATCAAGGAGATGACAACAGCCCTGGCCTTCACGTGTATCAAGTGCTCCTGGGGGCACATGGCCCCTAACAGGGCAGGAGAAAGGATAAACAAACTCAGAAATAGTAAAAGGATTCAGAGAAGACAAAACCAGAAGAAAAAAGTCTCCGTTTCTTAGGTGCTACGACATCATCTCCATTTCAAGGCAGAGCGTTGAGCACCGAGGAGACTTCACACAGGTAAATCCCAACCAAGATGATTCCAGCTTTAGTAAAAACGCAGTTTAAATATAGCATCATCAACTTCTCTGTGCTTGGTGCACTTGGTGCACACTCATCTCTAGATGAGATGCCGGGGTCAGAAAATCAGTGTGACCAAACCTGTATTTGTGGTGGGTGGCAATACAAGGCAGGCAGCTCAGCAAGGGCAGGAGGTGGTAGGAGAGGACGGCGGAGGAGGAGAGGGGTAGGGAACAGCCCCGCATTCCTCAGCTGGGTGCAAAAGCAACCAACGGCTCGGTTGACTGTCCTTGAGGGTAATGTACGTTTGAGCATCCAGAAAGTGGGGCCAGCATAGACTTTGAAGGCTACCGAGGAGCCAGTGTGGGATCTCGGTCCCAGGAGGAGCTGAAGTGGAGAGGCGGCTCCGCATGCATACCCACAGTCTCGAGAGGGTCCCTGGGGCTCCGCCACGTGTGGCGGGGAGAGGCTTGCAGGCAGTGTGCAAGTCACAGGGAAAGGGACATGCTGGATTTAGCAGCTGCTAACAGGAGCTGCAGCTGGTTGCATGTAGCACATGTGTTATTCTGTATGTGTCTGCTTGCTGCTCGGCAGGCTGAAATGTGGATTTAATTACCTACAGATGTTTCATAGGTAGAGGAAAAGCAAAAGATAAAAAACCAGAGAATGCTTATTGCTGCTCCTGGACAGCCTCTGCAGCGACGCACGGGCTGACCGGCAGGCGCAAGCGAGAGAGCAGCCGGTGCTCTTCTCTTACGGAGTCTGCCGAGGCTGCGCTCGGAGAAGCGCTCCCCTCTGCAGTAGACGCAGGACAGCGCTTCGTGCACACTGTATACAGAGTGGATGTGTCCAGAAACAACATCTGTCTCGGTAACAGTCTGTTCTGCTCCTGCTGCCAGGAAAGATTGGACGGTGAAGCAGGGGAAAGAAAGAGGGTCTGCTAGGTGTACAGCTGCACCAGGACAAGTGAGACTGACTTTGCATAAAATATCCAGCACAAAACACGCAGATGTGGTCACCTGTGCACTTGGATGCTCCTCCATGTAACACACCCCAGATGGTTCAGTGCCAGAACAGTAGCACTGCCAACTTGTCCCAAAACCTGGGAGTCAATCTTGGCCTGGAAGCCCTTCATGAAACTTTAAATCGAGTTATATCACATTCAGCTCAATAACCTCATCCCAAAGGCAGAGGGGAAAATGAATGAGCAGCATTTGGATGGGAGGTTTTGCCTGAGTCAGGCTTCTCACTTTGGCACTGCCAGTTTTCATGACCTAGCATATACTTCAGTGGCACCAAATCCAAAGGGTTTTTCAAAACCCAAGGACAGATGCAACATAAAAAAGTGCTGTCGCAGCACACGAGTGGGCAGCGATGTGCCACCAGCGGGCAGCGATGTGCCACCGGCATGCTCAGCATGGCACAGTTCCCCGCACACAGGAGGAACAGGAAGGGATAAAAAAAATAGATTTACAGTGAGGCTACGGAAAAACTACACTTGCAGAAAAACCAGCAGTCGCTCAGCAAACTTTGGAATTTCCTACTAACCAGTTGCCTTGGCTTATGTGAAAACCTCCCTAATTTATATGCTGTATTAAAGTTATGAGAGAAGCCCTGTACGGCTTTGAAAGAGCCTTGGGCACAGGAGGGAAGGGAGAGCGGAAGGAAGCGGGCATTCTGGGCAGCACCGGGGAAACTCTACACGCTTTGTTTACAAACCCTGTACACTTTTTGTTTGGCTTTTGGATGTGTTTTATTCTTTCCCAACTCCCTTTTCATCTCATCGTAGTGCCAGCCACACTGATGAGTGTTTATGCTTGCGAATTCCTGAAGCACAGCCAGTACCTTGAACTCCAGAGAATGAGACTGAAATAACGTAAAAGGTCAGGGAAGTTCAAAGACAGAGAGGTGCCGTTTTCCTAGCTGGGGACACCACACTGTTCCCAGACCATGCTGGGCTGCTCTGGGGACACAAGAACAAAGACTTCTCTCTGATCTCCTCCTGTTTACGCTGCTTTTTGCCTCCTTCACCTCACTGTTTTAACAGGACTGATTTCCATGAAGCTTCAGTTAAAACCAGGGACCAGTTTGGTGTGAGCCTGACGACTGAAGAGACGCCTGATAGGTACTGGTACTTAAAACTCCCATCACCAAAGGAAAAGGGAAGTTTTTATCCCA